TGTTTTATTGTCCTTTTTGTTCCACGTTCCTTTTTTTTGAGTTTTCCTTTCTTGATCATCAAGGTGTTCTAATTTAGCGATAACCTAGCGATAACCTTTTGTTGAAAAAGGAACCCTGGACGAGGGATAGACTCATTTGATCCCAGCAAGAAGATAAATACCGGTCCTGCGCATTAACACGGCAAAAAAGATATTCGAGTTCGATCAAAATGTTGGAGTCGTCAGACGTTGGCCCCGACTTCGACTATCAAGGCAACAACAGGAAATTCAATTCAGTGCCCAATCGTTCCGCCAATGTCAGGCGATGGGTGACGACTGCTACCAGTTCGGCAGCCAAGTGCTGCTGCGAGAGCAGGCAGCAGTTTATGCCGAGGGATTATTCAGAGGACCAGCGCGTCACACTCATAGCATCACCGCATTGTCGAGGGACTCAGAGCACCATCAAAGCACACTTATAGAGTCATGCTTGTCACTGTCGCTGCAATCCAATCTAGCGACAGGCGACCATGGATAAGAACATCAACAAAGAACAGCTTGGTCGCATGAAGCAGAAGGCCGGGGCCACTAAGCACAGGGCGGGTCCACAGAGCACACCGTGTTCACTCAGAAGTGTTCTCGTCGCTACGTGACTGAGGTGGATCGGGAAGCCTTCGACCTGCAACAGAGCAGCGGCATCTCGCACAAAGACGCCCTCTTCAAGGCAGGGCCTCGCAAACAGCTCCTTTGTACTGTGTGTGAGTGGCACAGCATGGAAGCTTGGCCCCTCCCTGTTGCTCGGCCAGGTCCTGAAGAACAAGCAGAAGGACAACTTACGGGCGAAGGCGACCGACAAGGACAGCAGAAAGCTGCAGGCAGTCCGGTTCAAGGTCAGGGAGGAAATGAGGCCGGGTCGTCTATCATTGTCAAGCAGCAAGCCTTGACTGCATACTCATATTGCCTGAATCCTTCACTGCTCTCCGCAGGCTCCGCCGCTGCCTGCAATCATGACCTCGGGGACGCGACTTCGGGCTTTTTGGACAGCTACCAGTTCACCTCGTGTATAATTTCTCTTTCCAAGCTCATATCGTTCGTGTCGAAGACAACCTCTTGAAACAACATCTCTACATACATATATATATATATATACACACATACATACTATATACGTCGGAAGCCCCTGTGATGTATAGGCCAAAGCTGCATGCACAGAGCCGGCCTAAGGGTCACGGGATCCATCAAGGAGCGGGAGTAGCAGAGTGGCGTTGCACAGGCTACTGTAGCTTCACTTCCTCCTCCGGGAGCAATGTACCTCGACCGTCAGAGCGCCATCGATAAAAAAGCGCGGCCATTTGGTAGTCCAAATGCCAATCAACTTTTTACATTGCTTTGTCATTTAATACCTCCGCTGTTGCTTTCCCAAATTTTGCTGGGCAATTCTACAAGCAGCTACGGGGTTGCAGTGAAACCACTGCAGCAATGACCGACGCAATGCAGACCAGACCTGCACTTGCGCTTCACCCAATCCTACACTTTTGGATTCCTTAGCCCTGGAGTCTCCAAGGGTTGGGGCTCCAGCCAGGAGTCTGTGCATCTGGTGATTTTGAAGTGACCAGGCCGTTAGCTATCAAACCTATAGATCCAACAGCGCCGTGAGTTTGCATTGTTTAGTGTTGATTTGAACAAAACACTGTAAAGTGATAGGCCCTCCCCCAAAAAGCGATAACCTATATTTCCGTACCAAGCATCAACAATTGATTTTGACGGCGGCTCATGTATATATAATTTTATATAAATATAATATATACACATATATATATATATACATATATATACATATATATATATATATATATACATATGTGTATATATATATACATATATATACATATGTGTATATATATATATATAGCTCTCTCTCTCTCTCTCTCTCTGTCTCTCTGTGGTTTATCAACCATTGATATACGAACTGGGATGCACCTCCAATCTCCAGGAGGAGTCGGCTCACGAGGTGGTGAGAAGCCTCCGAGAGACCTTGAACCGGACACAGATCGGTGCCCGGATGGGCCACCCAAAAGATCCAAAAATCACAATAAGCACATGGTCATAGCAGTTTTTGAGGATCTTCTATCAATATCATATTTCACATAAATATCGGGGGGATTATTATTTTTCAAGCCATTCTTCTTGAATAAGCACATAGAGAAGGACAGATTGAAAGATGGATAGACGGATACTGTAGATCGATGGACAGATCCATGGATCCATGGATGGATGGATGGATGGACAGATAGAAAGACAGACGTGACACTTGAATAGATATACATATACATGTGTTCGCCCCCTCAGTTTCGCTGGGGTGGAGATCATTTCGGCGATGAACAACACATATACACCGCGAAGCAGGGAAGGCCATGACTTCACAGAGGGACTAGTGGTTTCACTGATAAATCAGAAATTTTAACCATAATGTATCAGATGGTCTGTTATTTGCGAGTCAGTATGTTTTTGGCAATGTTTTTCCATGTTTTTCCTCTTCGAACCTTCATTTTACGGCAGTGAAACATCCCCCGGAGGTGCGTCCGAGCTGCTCCAGAAGTTCTCCCCTGATGTGGCCTGGAAAAAACATGCACCACCGGTGTCGGCTTCACTGATGGCGTTTGTCATGAATGTAGACTCATGTGTGCAAAATACAAGTCTCTCTCTCTCTCTCTCTACAGTATATAAATATGTATATATATATACCCCAAAATATATGTATGTATATGTAAATAAATAAATAAATCAATAATTAAGTTAAATAAATAAGTCAAATATATATATATATATTATTTATTGTGCATATATACACACATATGCGCACACATATACATATACATATACATATACATGTACATATACATATACATATACATATTAAAAGCCAAAAAACACATGAGAGAAACCTCCACATTCAGACAAGTTAAGAATCTAGACACTTCGATCGTACGCATGTGCATATCTAGGAGTCATTCCATCCGAGGCCCAGGGTCGATGTACACCACTGGCCTTTCGCCGGGGCCTGACAGCTCTGGGCCTTGCAGTTTCGGATGAACGCTTCGATGCACTGTTGAGCGTGCTGGACAAGGCCCGGAAAAACACACAGGAAACATGCGGAGATCTTGATCTTAACCCTAGAAATTGAGAAATTGGGATGGTTCCTGTAAAGCATCGGTTGATCATACTGATCCAATTCTAGTTTGGTGTTTGTTGGCCTCATGATCTTTCTATGAACAAAATTTGGCCACTCAGAAGTTAAAACCATCCAATTTTTGGGTCAATAGTCTTCGTATGGCTCACCCCTTGGACAGGACTAATGTTGTGTGCCGCTGCCCCATGCTTGGGCCCTCAGTTGATGCCTATCAACTACCCCCTAAACAAGCCTTGGTTCACTGTTGGATCCATTTATTTTTGTTTTTTTAAACTGAGGGAAATTCGACCGGGTTTTCGTATTGCATCCAACCGGGAGCTTCGCTGCAGGACGAGCAGGGAGCCATCCTGCTGAAGACACTTGGATTTGGCTGACCTCAGAGGTCAGGGGCCAGATGTAGCCCTCAATAGGCCCGGTGAACACATAACTGGGCTGTTCGCCAGTAGTTTTTCCAAACTTTTTTTTTGGTGGGGCAGCCTGGAACGTTTGAGGCTGGCATGAACCGCATGGATTATTTTGATAATGTTTGGCGTAGGATTTGTGGTTGCTGCAATCAGGGGTTGAGGCAAATGGGTGAATCGTGCTCGAAAGAGGGCAGTCCTGGACACTATGAAGCCTGAGACTTCAATGGTGATGGGCCAATGCTTATGACATGTTTTTGGATGTTTTTGAAACAATTTAAAAAGGCAGAATTCATGCCAACTATTTTGGTGTGAAAACCACGGTGCCAGGTTGAATCTGCAAGTCACTGACAAGAACATTTCACCGGTCCCAATTTTTGATAGTTCTTATAAAAAAGCAGTTGCAGGCCAGCCAAATAGCTAAGGCAGCTGGAAATGAGGTTGACCAGGACATCCACAAAGCCTCAACGAAAAGTTGTGGACTGGTCACTTGGGAGATAGCGCACGCCTGGGACGAACGGCTGGTGACAAGAGGGCCTAGACCTGCGGACCGTAGATCCAGTCTGCTTTTGTATCCAATTTTGACCCAATATCACCCAGATGTGCATATAGATATACAGAGATATATATGATATAGAAACATGGATGCGCGCGCACACACACACACGCGCGCGTATATACATGTATATACATATCATTAATCACAGATATAAATGTATAAGTAACTTGGTCTATATAAATAAATAAAAATACACACACACACGCTATATATATATCTATATCTATATATATGGTGGAGTATGTATATCATACTCATACGCACACACATCAATTTGTATCCCACATGCATACAGTTCAAGTGCATGTCCTTCTGTGTTGCATGGACAACCTTGAGAGCTCACGTTATGCCTCGTGTCTGAGGGAAGTCCCATCTGCGCAGAAGGGTTCACAGGAGCCGTCTGGGCATCGGCCAGTGGCTTCTGAGCAAGGTGGGTATAAAATTGACGCTGGTTCGCCACTATCATTGCCACTAGTGTTGTCGTCGAAAGCTAGCGGTAGCTAGCTGGCGTTACTCTTGCTTCAGCAAGGGGAGGGGCAGGTCTGAGTCCAACACAGTGATTTTTCACGCGAAACCCCCTAATCTCCCGGGGCATTTGAAGCGGTGTTGGAAGCAGATGGTCACGGGCTCAAATCCTGCCAGGTCTCTAGGCAATCTGTATTCAGCATATCAAAATCCCATCAAAATCCCATCATGTTTCCAGGCTCATATGAACCTTTGCTTTCGTTTACCCCCCCTTGGGCGTCAAGTCGATGATGATGATGATGACGACGACGACGACGACGGACGACGATGACATGACCATGACCATGACGATGACGATGACAATGTTATCTGAGGCTGATGCCGACGATGAAAGCAAAGAAACAACCTTGAGATGATGCTACGCACAGATTGCACCTGACACCACTCCAGGATGACACCATGTCCGAAGGCCACACAAGGACATTTAAACGTGGCGATTGGTTGCCCAGTGCCTCGACTCAATCACCGCCGGGGGCGGTGGAAAACTGCTAGAGAATCCCTGGAAAGTGATGATCCATGATGATCCTGGGACTGATGAACATTAGAAGTTTCATACTGTTTCAAGAGATTTCATGATGAAACTTCCAAAAAGTTTATGGAAACTTCATAAACATTATGACACTTCTAATTTGAAGTTTCCTAATGATTTCAGGAAGATTTCATAATACTATTGGATGGATTTCCAACAAGTTCTCAAGCGATCACCAGTGCCTGGACCCAGGATCTTGGTGCCGAGCGATCACCGTCGCCCATTATATAAATAAATACGGGATATAAATGGGTACATCCACGCACATCCACGCACATCCACGCACACACACACACACACACACACGTGTGAGTGTGTGTGCGCGTGATTGGATATCAAACAAAACGGCACCAAATGGTTCTATTCACCATTTTTCGTTCGTTCAACTCCGATCGATTGATCACTCAGCTGGTTGTTATATCGTTTATAAACAGTTTTTCTTGTGAGTAACCCTCAGGACGATGATACCCCCGTCCTTGGGTCCCTTGTAGCACCCTTGTTGTCCAGGCGAAGATCGGCACGGGTGTTTGACCGAGCGGGAGAGATGCTCGAACAGAAGTGACATCATTTTGAGTCATGGGGCTGAAGGATGTTTCAGAGAAGAGTGAATAGAGCGCCTCCCACCAAGCAAATATTTAGCATATGTGCACATACACACCTATATAATCCATCCATCCATCCATCCATCCATCCATCCATACATACATACATACATACATACATACATACAGTATATATATATATATATATACACATGTATAGCTATAATTTAACACCCGCACACACACAAACACACACAAACACATGTATATATAATATATTATATATAATACGTATTTGTGTTTTATTTTTTTAGATACCTACTATTACTTTGCATGTAGCTACAGATCGAGCAATGTGACATGCAGCTCGATACAGTTTGAGGCTTCATGGCTAGGACTTAGATGTCTTGAAATGTCTTGGATGGGCATCCTGCAACGTTCGGCTTCCAAGGGCGGATGAACAGCCATCGCAGACAGCCCAAGCAGTTCCCCGGATGAGATGATCCCTGGGGTGTTCGTGATAGTTTTCATCCATCTTGGAGGGATGTCTGAACGCCCAGTTATCAAATAGTTCTGCCATCTCGTTGTCTCAGGTAGTGGTTGTGGGTTGATAAGCCAAATAATTTATTGGCGTTGTCAGTGCAGCCATGTTTCGTGTCAGCAATTCAGCAATTCCAATGAGTTTGGCTCTGCGCAAGCCCGTATAATCCATCATGGCATAGGGCTAATCAAATCATAGAACAGTCTGACCAGGGCATACCATCTATGTATTTACATCATATGTGTGTATATATATATATTTATGCATAGCACAAGTATTTATGTATACATACATGTGCACACACAGATACACACACACACACACTTGCTCAGAAATATCTTATCGAATTACTGATGTGGAATGTATCGTACGTGCAAAAAAACACTCCAGTAAACCTGACAGGAGAAATTGGAAGACCCTACGTGGAAAACAGTGCGACGTATGCTTTCTACGTCCTTGCTCAAAGGAATGTTCTGATGCAGCTTTGTCAGTCGTGAAAAATCAAAGGATAAGCAGATTGTGGCAACTGTGCAGAAACGAAATTGAAAACAAATCGACGTGCCGGTTCTAGGCTTAGCCGGATGCCATTGACGAGGGAATTGAAATGGTGTCGCAGGTACGTCACCAGGCGTCCCTGGTGGTATCCTAGGATCATATGAGGAGCTTCGTTGGATGGAGCCTCATATGTCCTCTCCATCCCCCTGCTAAGTTAGAAGTTTTACATCTTTTCAGATGGTTCACACACACACACACACCCTCCCGCAGGAGGGTGGGACATTAAGGTCCCGACAATGAGATGAAAATGAAGAGGAAGGGAAATGAAGATGAGGTGAAGATGACAATGAGATGAAAGTTACTTAACCAGGACGCAAAGAGGGGAACGCAAAAGAAGAGGGAAAGAGCAAACACCAACACATGAAACCTAGCCCAGAACGGGCAACCCTGGAAAGGCAAGGGAAAAGAAAAGCGGAGGCCGACGGAAAACGGAACAAGACCAGCGGAGGAGGGGGAGGACAGAAGCGCCTGAACCAACCTGACACGGCGAAATCCTACAACAACCTCAGCACGCAACGGGCCAAACCTACCTGGAGAGAGGAGAACGCAAGAACACATGAAATAGGGACCCATGGGGAACTAGTTAATGACATGATACATCCACATTGCATGCAAAGTGTTGTGATAAGGCTCAAAGGCCCTCGGCTGTCACGTCCCAACCCTGTAAACGACTTAAGTTGTCAACCCTTGAATTACGTGCACAAATGTCAACCTCACCGAGAAAACCAAAAGAAAGAGACCACACCTGGAAAGCATGTCCTGATACCTCCAAAAATGCCGTGTCATGTTGCAAACAGTCGAGCTCCGTACTCTCTTGGGCATCATTGAAAAACGGATGTTGTCGCAGCTTCAGGCTATGCAGCGAGAAAACCACGGGAAGAATTGAAGCCACACGGCGGCCAGTTGTTCAACCAAGCGACATCGACAGGGTGAGAATCGAAAAATGGCCAGCAGTTCACTTTACTTAGACAAATTACTAATTCAAAAGTGTAAATTCAGACATCGTTTTACTGTCCACAGTTAGCCTAGAAAGGCTTTCCCCGAAGGGCTCATACCACCTTGACGGAGCCGGCATGAGTCACACACTTGCTCAGAAATATCTTATCGAATTACTGATGTGGAATGTATCGTACGTGCAAAAAACACTCCAGTAAACCTGACAGGAGAAATTGGAAGACCCTACGTGGAAAACAGTGCGACGTATGCTTTCTACGTCCTTGCTCAAAGGAATGTTCTGATGCAGCTTTGTCAGTCGTGAAAAATCAAAGGATAAGCAGATTGTGGCAACTGTGCAGAAACGAAATTGAAAACAAATCGACGTGCCGGTTCTAGGCTTAGCCGGATGCCATTGACGAGGGAATTGAAATGGTGTTGCAGGTACGTCACCAGGCGTCCCTGGTGATATCCTAGGATCATATGAGGAGCTTCGTTGGATGGAGCCTCATATGTCCTCTCCATCCCCCTGCTAAGTTAGAAGTTTTACATCTTTTCAGATGGTTCACACTCTCACACACACACTGTTTATATACACATACATACACAACCTCCCAGATGTTCCCCACATAAGTTGGCAAGACCACATTCCTGACATGCTGCGAAGTCATGTTACCTTCAGGTTGGAACCCATGACAGCCAGCGATGTCATCATGGCCAAGATCAAGGGTGTGTTAAACCGAAGGTGCTGCGGGAAGGCAACCGTTGCGTTGCTCAGGAAGTTTCGCACCAAACAAGTTTCAGAATTTGGGAGTGTAGCAATGGGTTGGATGGGGCATACCTACCATCAGGGAAATATATATATAGATATATTTACATACACAACATTACATTACATTACATTACATTAATTGCATTACATTAATTACATTACATTACATTACATTTCGTTTGCATACCATACCATACCATAACCTAACCTAATATAACATGCATACATACATATACATACGTATACATACGTATACATACGTATACATACATATACATACATATACATACATATACATACATATACATACGTGTATATATACATATACATATACATAGATACATAGATACATAGATACATAGATACATAGATACATAGATGCATAGATGCATAGATGCATAGATGCATAGATACATAGATACATAGATGCAAAGATAGATAGATAGATAGATAGATAGATAGATAGATAGATAGATAGATAGATACATAGATACATAGATACATAGATAGATAGATAGATACATATAGATACATACATATAGATACATACATACATACTACATACATACATACATACATACATACGTACGTACATACATACATACATACATACATACATACATTTAGACATACATACATATATACATACACATATGTACATACACATGTATATACACGTATATATATGTATATATATGTTTATACACATGTATATAAGTGTGCGTTTGAGTTTCTCAAGATTTGAGATTGTGTAACACTTCTGGACCTCTGGTGAATTTCCGTGTCAATGCAAGGTAGAGTACCAGTCTACTTCATATTGGAAACTTGGGCCGCCGCTAGTCTTTAACAAATCTATTGGATGGCTGGATGGCGGAAATGACATTTGCGTGCTCCCTGTCAAGAACCATAGCGTAAAGATCACAGGGATCACTCCAGCTGTGTTTCTGGAGGTCATGGGGTAGCAGGCAGGTTTTCCTACAGTTTCTGGTGCCTGCAAGGTTTCCCATGTTCCCTGTGACCGATGTCTGGCGCGCGATGTCCCCGGGCCGCCAGGAAAATCCGATCTGCTGAAATCTTTCGGCTGCTCGTTCTGCGTTGCGAGGGTTGCGAGTTGGGTTTGCCGCAGCCCATGCAGCGATTCAGTGCAAAGATATCAATGTGATTGTTTTCAATGGGTTAGGGAGGCGTTGGAACCAAAAGCGATCTGTGATCATCTGTGATCTGTGTGGCTTCTATTGGTTTCTAAGATGTTTGAAGGGAATGTTGGAACATATTGGAATTCATTTGGAGGATGATTTTTTGCACCAGACACTGCTGGGATCAGCGAGCAGCTGAGGTTTCTAGACACCAACGGCAATGGTGCTGTCTCTCCCTCAGAGTTGAACAATGGTTTGCGCAGGCGCTGGTTCCCGCGGTTGCCATCAGCCCCAACAATAAACAGGGTTTACTAGTTCAAAAAGATATGAAACGTCATTTATGGTCCAAAGATCTTTAAGGTCTGAAGGATGTACATGAAACTGAAGCTCCGGAAAGACATGAATTTGGTGCTGGAAAAAGTATGAACAGTCAAAGGTTGAGACCATTTCAGAAGAACAGCACTTAACAGCACTGTAGATATTTTTGCAGTCAGGTGGAACGTGCGCTGAGGAATCTGGCTGGTGTGCGGTGCTGTAACGCATCAGGTAGGAAACCTGCTGGAATGCTTCCTGTTTGCACCTATGGCTCAACTGTGCTTACTAGTGACACCAAAACTCGTTTGAGAAGATGTTGATTCAGCTTGACAATTGATATCCCGCCCCGCACCAACATCATACAAAGCTTGAGCTACTCGACATATATATATATATAAATAGATATATATTATATGTATATATGTTATTTATATATTATATATTTTGAATATATACAAGCATACGTGCACTCACTTGTATGCACGCACCCTGGGCAAACCTATGTGCATGTCGATGTCAAATATGTCCATACCAAACGCAAAAAAGTAGGAGCCACAGAGTTTTTTGTCTGGTTTCCTTGGCTGCAGCGTCCTGACAATGAATACAGCTAATGTAGCACGACTACATATTCTTCCAACTGCCACCCGGCCACCCAACAGATTTTCTGTTTTCCAGCCCGACCGGGATCAATTTTGAAGGGCATCTCCATAGGAACTTGGCTGAACACATTGTATGCAGCTTGCCATGCGCTGCGTCGCCCCGTATGCTTTGGGCACTGCTGCTGGGTTTACTACCCGAGTCCGGCAGCTATGTGGTTCACTTCTCATCCAGCCAGGCCTTGCAGCATCAGAATGACACTTCCGCTGCTGGAGTGAGCCTCTCAGTCGCTGGTCGCCGTTTTCAGTGCCAGTTGCCCAGTCTGGGGCAAGGCCGAGGCGGCCGGCGGGCCTATGTCGCGCAACTGCGCAGCGCTGGGCTGCAAGGGCATTGCGTCCAAGGGCGGACGGACGATCGGCAGGACTTTGAGCTGTGCATTGGTTTCTGGATGGATGGTAGCCATACATTTTTTTCCTCTATATAGGCTAGTTTGGACATGCATTTTTGGGATTGGATGGGTTTACCTTTACATCATTCACATCCGACTGCAAGTTCAACTTTGAGCAGGTTCGCATCTCTCGATTGGTGGCCGTGTGGCCCAGCGGCAGCAGCGCCTGGACAGCGCGGGCGCGGCGGGCTTTGAGCAGCGTTATTTGGGGGCAGGTCTACATGCCATACTGGACTGCACCTGCCGCCAGCCCGAGGAGAAAGAGACACCTGAGCGCAGGAGGCCGGTACCCTGCATGTTGGGGGAGCACGTCTGGACGCCTACAGAGATGGGGGAAGACCTGGCCATGGTGGTGGGAACTCTGAGCCAGACACTGTTCCTGCGCTGGATTCAACGTGGTGCACCCAAGACCTCCTTCAAGATGCCTAAAAGCGTTCTGCGCTCAGCTGAGGATGGAAGGAGCTGTTCGGAAACCATGCCGAGGAGATGATTGGGGTGTGGTGTGGGTCTGACAGAACTACAGTTGGAGTGATACAGATGGTAAAGATGATACATATGATAAATATGATAAATATGATAAATATGATAGATATGATAACTATGATAAAGATGATGCATGTGATAAAGAAGAGGACTATGACAAAGAAAAAAGAAGAAGAATAAGGGAATGAAGAAGAAGGGAAGAAGAAAAAGAAGAAGAAGAAGAGGAAGAAGAAGAAGAAAAATAAGAAGAAGAAGAAAAAGAAGAAGAAGAGGAAGAAGAAGAAGAAAAAGAAGAAGACGAAGGGGAAGGGGAAGAAGGGGAAGAAGAAGAAGAAGAAGAGGAAGAAGAAGAAGAAGAGGAAGAAGAAGAAGAAGAGGAGGAAGAAGAAGAAGAGGAAGAAGAAGAAGAAAAAGAAGAAGGGGAAGGGGAAGAAGGGGAAGAAGAAGAAGAAGAAGAACAAGAAGAAGAAGACGAACCATAGAAGAAGAACCAAAGAAGAAGACACATGTAACGATGACCATTGCGAAGGTCCTAAGGTCCTAAGGTGGATCAATACCAATGAAACCTAGTGAATCTGATGCGACCGATCAGGAGACCATGGCCCTTTAGCCTTGGCATTTCAAAGGTGGAGTCCGATGACAGCTGGCCTCCTGGGGATCTGTTTGCCGTGCGGCTCAAAACCCGGGCCTGCTGCAAGGTGGATGAAGATGTGGCTACCGCTGTATTGAGCCTGCTGGAACCCTTGGAAGGCACCTGTCAGTACGTGCAAAACGGCTGGTGGACCTATGAGCTCTGCTGGCCCTGGCACGTGCGGAGGCTGCACGTCCAAACCACCGCAGAGATTGACGAAACAATCTTTCGCATCATCGATTTTGGGGAGGGAAACAGCCAGAGGACCACCATCAGTGGTGCCACCAGAGCAGAGGTGGCCAGCATGGGCGGGGTACTGGGCTTCTTCGGTTCCACGCCACAGGTAGAGCTGCGAAGGACCTTGGCGGGCAAACGGCAGCAGGGTGTCCGGGGCATTGCGTGGCCACAGGAGGTGATGGTGCCCTTGGAATCGGGTGACGATTGTCGCATCGCGGCCAACCACTGGGTGATCTCGGTGACTGGCTTGGGGCACGGGAGTCCGGTGCAACTGGAGGCACGTTCTTCTTCTTCTTCTTCTTCTAAACTTTGGGGATGGGAGTGGCCACTGGGGATTGTTTCGATTTTTAAGGACCCTGTGGGAAACAGTTTCGATTTTCCCACGGGCAAGTAAGATTACCAGAGGGCACAAGGACTTTCTGAGAGCCTTCTCATTCAAATATGAGAACATCTGATTCTTTGAACATCTATATTTATATTATATATCTATATGACATTTGTAGCTGCATCTGTCAGCATACATGGATATGGGATTATATAGGATCAGGATGACATACAGATCAAACTCATGATGGCTCCTGCAGGTGGCCGGTGTGGGTGGACCCTTCAACCCCGCCACTGTTGACTCCGTGGAGGGCTACCTGGCCATGGACCCAAACAACGTGGACGGATGCGGAAGCTTCACCCAACGCTATGAGGGCGCCATCGTCTTGGTGAAGCGGGGGAACTGCTTCTTTCAGGCCGTGGTTGACTGGTGGTAAAGGGATCTGCATTAGCTCAGGAGCATTTAGGAGCGATTGAAACGGGAGATCCGGTTTTGGGAGTCAAATTGGGGCCAAGGAGATCCAGACACCCTTTGCTGTTGGAGAGAAGTTGCAGGTGTTTTCCAGAGCACCCAAGAATGCCCCCTCAACTGGGTAGAGGTGGAGTTCTGTAGCTGCCAAAGTCTAACATTTTGGCATGTCCTTGCCATTTTCCCGGGTCTGAACCCCAACTTGGATAGACTAAAGCTGCCTTCGTCTGGATGTTAATTCTACTGCAGTTGGTAAGTGGTTTATTCTTGTGTTTGCTGTTTGCATCCCAGGAAAAGCCCAGGAGTGAGTAGGGGACTTGCTCACCAGGTTCATCAAACAAGTGCGCTGTTCAAAATATCTTTTCATTTTTCATGGTTTACGAACTATTTGGGTAGACCCCCTCTTTATTTTTTCAGTCCAACTGGTATTTTGCTTGCTTAGCATCCTAATTTCTGTCAATTCGATTCAACCCACATTTTGAATCATTGTGAGAGGCTTTACTATTCAGTTTTACTATCAAAATTGGCAGCTTCAACCACTTGCTATCCACAGGTCTCAACGTAATTTACCATGGATTTCACCATGGATTTTATCAAAATTTACCATGATCATCCCATCCCATATTCATGGTTAACCATTCATCAACCACTGATATAAAACCATGAATCAGCCATTCACCATGAATCTCCGCTGATCACCGGAGGTGAAGGCCGGGACCGCGGAGGAGGCCGGCGCCGTGGCGGTGGTGATCTACAACGACCAGCGGCCGCCGGTGGAATCCATGGAAGGTGCGCCGAAATATCAACCATTAACTGTCGTTAATAACTTGATTAATAGTGGTTAAAAGATTACCGCCTAGATATTGAAGAGATAACGCAGTAAACAAATGCAAACAACCTCTAACTTTTCCCCACGAGCAGACTCCAGCAAACTTGACGAGAGAAAATTTCTAATTGACGGATTAGTTGACAGTTTATGATAACGTTCAATCTCTGTTTCTGACGGTCAAATCCCCATTTCTGGTGTTGAAATCCAGATCTTTAGATGCTCCAATCCCTATTTTGTAAATCATGTAAATTTCGCATTTTGGATGGTACGAATCACCATGTTTGAGGGTACAACCCCCCATGTTTCGTGTTTTTTTCAATTTTTTATTTTTGACCAGGCGTGGAGGAGTTGCTGCCTCCCCGGATCCCCAGCGTCTTCGTCCATGCGGAGCAGGGTCAGCAACTGTTGCGACACCAGCGCAGCCGTGCGACCGTCGCCAAGGCGGATGGCGCATCATCCGTGGTTGGTTACTGGGTAATGATGGTTGAATCTATGGTCAAAAATGGTTATACAGTAATTATTCATTTTTTTTGGATTTTTGAGGGTGATTTGTGTTGGGGATGTAATGTGAGTGGAATCGCAATGCCATGAAGAACTGCCACTTGGGAATGGTTTTGACCTTTTTATGGTATTGGGGTTTATGATTGGGTTTTCTGCATTACCTGCGCATGGCTATGGTCAAATCTTGAGCGGTTTTGGTGAACTACCATTTATTTCTGCTCAAGTTCCTATTCCAAACCATTTAAACTGGGCCTAATCATTTGGAGAGCGACTACATGGGCGTATTGCAGGTTTGCGGGATGGGTGTAAATATACCTATAGATTATAGATGATTTAGTTTCTATCCATTATGTCGGATATACGTACACACACACACATATATATACCACACACACACACATGTATGTATATTAATGTATATTATACATATAAATATATGTGCACATGATTTTGAACTATTCCCAGGATTCCCAGATGGAGTAAAATGAAGGGATAAATGGCGATGGGGAGGAGAAAGAGACAGAGTGAGGAGGCATATAGAACTAATAGGCCGTTTTTTCTATCCGATACCCATCGATTCTGACTTCAGGGATCATGGTGTTTTCGGTGGTCATGCTGCATTTTTTTTCCGATGATGTAAGCATTAGGGTGGTTCTATCTCCAGTATGGTATTCAGCTTGCACAATTAAAATTGGAAGATGATGCGAGCTCCGAAGTTCCACACCATATTTCATTGGATTAGTTCGAGGGGAAACTTGCAAACATCCGCATATTTGAGGGGAAAAACTTGGCTTCCCATCGCTTGTCCTTCAAATAATCCCAATCATCCCGTGGTTCAAAATCCAAAACACTTATAACAAATGCCATAACTTGGTATTTTGCCAAAAATGATTGGGCTATATTGGATCTATGCCACTTCCTTTGTTGTCTTCCATCCCATGTGGCCAGGTGGGGGACGACCAGCTTCAACTCTCAGATCCCATCACTGGCCATGTGGTCTTTCGGTGTAGCGAGGATTTTCAGAGGCAAAGGACAGTTGGCCTGGCTTGGCCTCAATTTTGGTCTCATTTGGTTTTTTGATGTAGATTTTAAATCTATTTTGTTTTTTTTTTGGCCGGGAGGTTGGCCTTTGTTTTGAACACTAGGGGGGAATGAGCTAGGGAACTTTGAGGATCCGCAGAGATCCCTGGGTCTCCAGGATGTGCCAAGTTGGCGACACCGTGGATGTGAAGTTGTGGGTCAAGTCCACTTCGAGCACCCAGACCTTTCCGCAGCCGTCCTTCACTGAGACGGTTGCTGCAGCTGAAATGGGGCGGGTTTTGGGGGCGGTTGGGTTTGGGGAGCCAAGGCCTTTGGCACAGTATTCTGTCGTAGTTCTTATATTAAAGGGAGGAGATGCCGAGAAACAGATTGGGCCTAGCCAGTGGCCAAAAGTATCCAAAAGTTTGATACTTCTCAAGTTGACTCGGTCAAGAGCTTCAAAATGGGGGATTTCGATGGATTTCGTAGCCCGCGATTTCAAGAGTTGCAGAAGTTTGTGCCGCCGATATGGAATGGTTGAGTTTCCTGATCTGATCCCAGACCAGGTACAAGTTGCATCCCCTGTGAAGAACCACTCCGTTAGGGGAGCTATGGTAGGAGGTATGTTAGGAGGTATGAGTGGTATGGCGGCTTCTTCCTTGGTGAACTCTCAATTTTGGTTGATCATAATTTGGACATCATTATTTTCTGATGAAACCATATGACATCCCAATTTTGCTAGTTACAATTCTGTTCCCTAAAGTTAGTCACAGCTGCATTTTTTCATGGTTGATTGATGTCAATTGCCTATTCTTGGTTCGAAAAATCATCAACATCCCCATGTTTTCTTTGGATTTTGTCAATTCTTGTTTACCCCCAAGCATTGAGGGTCAGATCCCAATTTTCCATCGCTGTAAGGAACAGGAACTGCACGAGCTGGCTGTAATCCAGGCACAGGTCGACAGCTCGTCCCTGCGGATGCTGCGTGGGCAGATCCTCGAGACGGACAACGAGATGCTTCGCGGCAGGTTTTTGGATGGGAAAGTCCTGGATTTTAGTGACCTAGTGATCCATGAACCCCTAAAAAGATAGGAAAGTCGAAGCTAAATCAGCAAATTTTAGTAGGGGCGCACTGTTTTCCGATCTTTTTTTCGGAGACTTCGAAAAAGAAGGAGGGGGAACAAGGAACAATTTAGATGAGTTCAGAATCGTAAAGAGGGATTTCAACCATGGGGATTTAAACGTCAAAGATAGAGAAAAACATGAGCCAGTCATGGGGTCTCACACAACATGGGACTTGGATCAGGCCTGGGATGTATAACAAATTGATATGAAATGATCCATGAAGATTTTCCTGGATTGATGGGCCCCTCCCATTTGATGGTGGTGTCAGCCTAAGACTGACGGATTGAGAATTCTTGCCTGGGTCCGATTTTCAGATGTGCAAGCTCTGGCAGGCCAATACTCAGTAGATGGTCAAGTTGCAGCAGAAATGGTAACGCATGGTAAAACAAAATTCAGGACGCTGCTCTTCTTTGCATACTGATCCCGATAGTTTGCAGTGGAGTTGGCACCACAAGCCCTGGGCCTAAGGACGCTGCTGGTGCAATGGCTTGGCGAAGGTGAGCAGGACCTCATCTTGGGCACGGTGCCAGGGATGAAACTGCACCAAGAGCCGCCGGCCACCTGGGTTTGCTTCGGCGATGGGTTTGGCCAAGGGGGGAAATCTGCCAAACATGGGGAATCTACTGGGAATGGTTTGGGGAATCTATAGGGGATCTAAAGGGAATCATAGGGAATCTGTATGCAATGGTTTCTTCATTTTCTAGGGGGCCCAAAACATGCAAATCCAAGGCGAAGGTTCCGCTGAGGGCCGCCTTTCGCGATGGTGTCCCATGCGGTGGGTCCCGCGACGTGTGGATTGAAAAACTGCTGGAGCCATATGCCTGCAATGCGGAGTTCGTGGTGCATGTAGCCAGCCTTTGTGCTGTCACCTGGCATGGTTTGGCTGTTAAGTTTTGCAGGGAACAAGTGCCCACAATGGGACACACTACCAGCTGCAGACTTCAAACATCTTCAAACGCTTGACGTTTTTTACAATTATTCTTTTTGGGGCTCCCAGCTCATCACGGTGTTGTGTTTTATTTGCCAAGCCTTGGAGCTTCCAGAGCTGAATCTCAGGTACCACAGCTGTCACCACAGAAGCCGCAAGAACAACAGGACATTTTTTGCAAAGAATCTGAGCAAACAAGTGGATGACTGGGTGGTTTGCTGATCGTTAGCAGTTCTCCGGGGAGTTATCAACGGGGCAACACACACACGCACACACACACACACGCACATATTTCTTGTGTGATATTACGTGAAGATGCTCGAAGTTGGCAGCCAGCACTCAATAATGCAGCCTGATTTGCCTGACAAATTGGCGTTTTTCATTATTCGATAGCACTTGCAATCATTGATCACAGATAGATGAGATGATTGGTCCACTTTCTTACCAGGTGCATCCAGGTGCCGAATTTTCATCAGTGGGTGCTGTGACCTTGGGAGACAACTGGGTAGCAAACCATCTATTCACTGTCGCCTGCTCCATAGTTGCTGGCAAGCACCCTGTGCTTCTGGCATTGCAAAGTTTCACCCGCCGTTGGGTGCTGGCAGCGGTCAGCAGCGAAAGAGAAAAAACGACCGCACACCTGACATGGGAACCCATCCAATTGTTACCACGACATGGGAATGTGGGTCGAATGCGAGACCCAATAGGAATGCAGCTATTGGGCTATTGGTCAAATAGCACCAAATAATTACGTGGAGACAATGATAAACGAATACATATAAATAAAACACACACACACATGTATATTACACGCACATAGATATATTCAATGATATTCATATAGACCTGGTCTTTGTGAGCCGGGCCAGGCTGGGGGTCCACAAGTTGAAAGATGGGGAGCTTCGGGAGATGGTGGCCGCGCTGGATGTGGATCAGAGCCTCGATGGGATGGTTTTTCGGTCGCTGGTTAGGGAGCCACATGGAGCCAACAAGAATGGGGGGATGAAAATATGGATGAAAAATATGGATATTTTTTAGGTTATGGCAAGGGAAAGGCTGGAAAGGTGTGATTTTCCCGAGATTGGGATTGGGAAAACATGACAAAGTCACAAAGTACGTATTCAGATTGGGCAACCATACATCAGTGAATACGAGATGGCTCCAAATCAGGTTTGGGATTTGGTATAGATTACCCAGATTTCTTTCGCAAGATGTGTGATCTGAGTTTGTCACCAGCCAGATGACTCTCTGATGCTTGATGTGGAGATTGTACCGCTGTTTGGTGCGGGGGATCTATGGATGCTTGAAATCATCATGGACTAACCAGTGGCACATGTAGGCACCTATGGTGTTGACAGATGTGAATTCCACCTGGTGGATCTACTAGCGATTTTTGGTTGTACCCACCTGAAAGCCACGAAATGGGCATGTAAACCTTAAAACCATATCTGACTGTAAGCTGAGCGTGTGAGATTCCATGTCGCTGCATGTATCACTTGAGGTCAGCCAAGTCAGCTTTATTTATCCAGGTGACCCCAGCCGGCCCAAGGAGTGGTGATATCAGCCTCTATGAGCCCCTTGGCTCCACCATGACCTTCACCCCTCGACGAAAACCGAGATTTCTCGCTGAGGTTTGACAAGGCGCTGCGCTTGGCGGAGAAGAAGGCGCGCTTCGAGGGCAGAGAGGAACTGGTGGATACCTGGAAGGTGCCCCCTGAGCGCCTCGCTTGCGATTGGGAGCTGATAGCTGGGCAGCATGAGATGGATGGGCAGGATGGGATGAACAGCTGCCCAAGTTCCCATTTTCCCCGTTGCTGGAATGTCTGAGGCTGGCGTTGGACTTTGGCCAGAAATATGAGCCTGGCCTGATGGTAGTCAGTCGAAATCCAAAACAGCACGAGACTCCAAGAGCTGATTTTGATCATCTCACATAGACTGGCCCTTTGGGACTTTGGCAGCCCAGAAGAACTTGGATGACCTCAAAGGGAGGTTCCCGCAATGTTTCGCACCGAGGACTGGTCCAAGCGAACCATGAAGTTCGATGGCAAATACACGGGTGAAGATGTTTCCACCATGGCACAGGCTGGCAGTGAGCTGATGGATCAGTCATTGGAGTCCCTTGGCGTGCAAGAAAAACACAGCTTCCAACGTGAGGATTCCTCCTGCTGGTGTTTACCCAAAGATTGGCCATACATCATTTGATATCATATTAATATTGTGATATTATTATCATTGGTCTACTGTATTTACTTTCATTTCTTATAGGCCCTGTAAATGCTCATGATTGGGCTTGCCACATTGCATCGGTTGTTTTGTGAGGATTATATATCCATGTTCATGCCATTTCTATGTATCTGGAACGTGAAAACAAATCAACAGCCTACAGTACACGAAAACGTGGCACAGTACGTTGTATAGTCCATGTTGGGGTGTTGGGGTGGGTATTGCCTTCCCAGGCAATGTGTTGCGAATTACCTAGGCCTCAAGTACCCGTTATAGGTAAATTAGCTACAAGGGGGGGGGAACATTCTTTTTGCCACTTTATCTCTATATATTCACCCACTTTATCTTCCTTGTACCTGGAATGTTGAGAGCAACCCTATGAAACTGCCACCAAGAAAGCGAGGGTGCCACGGGCATTTACAAGTTACGGGATTGGACCATTCGCAAGACACTCCTTGGAAAATCCTCCCATTTTTGCCACAAAAAAGGGTCATCTCAAGGTTTGACGATTTCCTCAACGAGTCGCAGTGGAACTCCCAGATGACCTCGCAGCCAAGCCTCCTGGAATGATGAAATAGTTTTCTTCACCACAACGAGGCTTGGGCCAACCCCTCGTCTTCTTGGGGTCCCCATCAACCAACAGGGTTTAGCAGCGACCAACCCCTAGTCCTGCCCGACTTTTTGAATTCATAAATTGATTCAATCATTTAGAGTACGTATTGATGATGGTTAGAATCGTATTGATGATTGATAAAAATGTATTGTATTTGTTTTAACCACGTGATATTGATAATTCCATATAACGTGTTTTGTATATTAAAACTCATTGAATTGTACTTCTGATTCTGACTGTATTGAATTGTCACGTCATACTGAGAGTCAGACTGTATAGATATCTGGGCTTGGAATTGTTGAAGCAAATGACCAGAATCATTCACAGTTGAGCGAGCAGGAGGTTGTTCTCTCCGCCACCCCTGAGCCCCAAACTCCAGTTGGAAAAAGTGTCAAGGAAATGGGCCCCTCATTTCATCAGCCTAAGGTTGATGAAATCACTGAATGTACAACGACCTCCCCAAAAGATAGAATAGAACACCGAAATTTAAGAATCCTACGAAAATAGCGGTCACTGAAAGTAACTTATGTATACTTATGTACTTTTTCTATCTTTTTGGGCGTTACTGAGGAGATTTGGTCAAACCTCCATGGTTCCAAGGGGCCAGGCCGTTGCCGCCCAGGTACGTTGCTGAACGCTGCCAGCCACCGCTGGATGCAAGCGTCCACCGGCCCCTGGGGAGCCGCACTGTCTGCACCGGTCGGTGCCGTGGCGCCAGGATGCGCCAGGGCTGGTGGAATGGGGTACCCTCTCGTCATAGCAAAGCTATGGAAGCCAGGGCCCCATTGAGTTCGATGATTTAATAATATCTAATATATCCCCATATATTACATAGTAACTTTAGTATGCTGTCCTGATTCAAAGCCGTGATTTTCCGTGGCAAAGTTGCGCAAATTACTGGAGGGCACGCCCGAAACCTTAAATGTTCATAAATTCATAAACCATACTGATTAGCTCACCACTATTGTAACTCTGGGGGTTTATGGTTTGTCAAAGATGGGCTGCATCGTACCTCTGTCTGCATCAATAATTAACAAGCACTCTTTGGTGCCTCGAATGATCCGAAGTCACCAGAATTGTGTCCAGTTGGAAGTGGCTGAGGTTCGGGTAATTTGCATGTAGCTTGGCACAGCAGTTTACAGCCGCGACCTGCGGATGGGCATCCAGTGGAAGAACATTGGAAGGGAGGGGTCACAAGCTAGCTGCATGAGCTGCACGAGCTGCACGTGGGTTTACATATGTAAAAACTAGTTCCAGGGAAAGTACGTACAGATCACCTTATGATGATGTATGCTCCTTACACGGAAGGCTTGAGGTTCGAGATTCTGGTTCTATCCGCTCGTGGTGAAGGTCTCATTCGCCAGAATGCATCCTGTCCTGGATCTTCTTTAAAGTAGGGACTTGGTTCACCCCCACAGTTTGTTGATGTTTGTGTTGTGTCTCATAATATAGACGCATAAAAAAAAATCTTTTGAGCCGGTAAATCCCCTATGATGTTTCCCACCTGCAAATTTGGAAGCCTCAAATTCCATGGTTCTTGAGTCATATATTATCCGGCTGAACCCAGCCCGAGACAAACCCAAATGTCATATGGTTGCTTATAATAGGCTTGTAATTACCCATTATATCCCCATTATATTCTCACTGTATCCGAAATATGTGTGTATATCTACTGTATTATATATATATATGTATATATATTTTTATACGATACACCTCCCCGTTACAACGTGTTACAACCCCATTATATTCACAGTATATCCCAGCGTCACATCCCCACTTCGATATCTGTTGCTGTCCGCTGTTCCGAGGACAACTTCATCTTCCGGCAGAGGCTGGTGGACAACACCTGGGCTTCACGGCCTCCGAAGATCGAGCACGAGCGCTTGCCGCCGCTTGGAGCGACGGGACGTGGATGTGGTGGCCCCGGCCCAAGGCATGTTTTTTTTGGGATCTTTTCCGACCTGGTGAAATTTGGCGATTCCAACTTTTTCACTTTGGTGGTAAAAAAAGGCTTTACCGTGGTGGTAAAGCCAGTTTCCGAAACTGTTTCTGCTGATATTCCCAGTGAATGAGGTTGACATCATCCTTTCTGTGGGATTCAACTATAACTATGATTAGTGGTGGACCCCTTTGCGATTTAGACATCTCAAAGGTGAAACCCGCAGGGTGAAACCCTGATGTTGCTTGAGCTGAGGCTCTACAGATATGGTCGCTTCAAGCGCCGAGCTCATGGGAGCGAGGGGTAGGAAGACTCGGATATATAGATGTATACACGTAGATTTGTAACATATCTGGGTTCAAACAACCTTGATGAGCTTGGTCTAACCACCAAAAATAAGGCAAATGAGCGATTTGACTTCCAGAAACTGGAAGAATATTGGCAGATGTCAGCAACAGAAAAAGGAGACAGAACAAACTGCTTAGATATGTTGGAAAATGGGAGGGTCTCCAAAATCACTGGCTGGGTCTTTCAGGTTTCCGGAAAACCATCCAAGTTGGGGTTCCCCCCTTCGGAAGTGGAAAAGCCCCCTGTCCTACATCCCAAGAAGCGAACCCAAATGAACCTTAATCATTGACCCAGCATGTAGCAACCAGGAAAAAACTGAACCACAATTTCTTACTAAACGTTATATAGTAGGGTTCTACCTTTCCTCTCATTTTCTTGGGTTTATTTTGCTATGCTGAACATAGTCTACATACACATCTATCCATCTATCTATCCATCCATCCATCCAGCCAGCCATCCATCCATCTATCCATCTACCAATCTATAAATATACAGTACATACTACACACCCACACACACACATATATATAATATACACATATACACACATACACATACATAGATCAACAAAACGCACATATACATGCATATACATACAGGTTACATAATGTTACATATACAACGTACATACACGTATACACGTACAACACTTCAATATCCGTAGAATTCTTCGATTTCGCAGGCGTGCCATCGCGGAGACGCGCTGGGGCGCGGAGCCGGTGCAGGTGCCGGAGCCGATGCTGAAGAGCAGAGATGCTGGGCAGCCAGAGCTTCACCAGGAAAAATCTGGGGTTAACTACGTGAAACATGGGAACATCTAGGAAAATCTGGAAATTTCACTGGCGAAATTTGACCCAAATCTGGTGATTTTTGACCATAGAAAGGGATGACATTTGATGGTGAAGTTCACCAGCAAAAAGAGGGATTGGGGAGTTTAAGCAATGAGGACATTGCAAAGAAACTGGGATATTCGGTATTGCGAAGATGTAGATTTTTTGTAGCACCCACTGAACTGCTTAAGAACCCATGGAGAGCTTCTCCATGTATAGGGGGGAATAAACCTACACACTGGGCTTGCTGAGTCAGTGATTGCGATTTTTGTTCTTTTCAGTGACTCATTTGCAAACGGGGAATCAACTGGCATTTTTTTGGGACCCCTTGAAGCAAATCCATGTGGGTATTACGGTCAAATCTTGAGACCCAGGGAACTGCAAGTCTGGGTCACTTTCTGACCACCGGAGGTTTTGTCAGCATTTCCCATTGAAGGACTTCTCCATGGTGTTCTCGGTATATTAAAATTTCAGATGTTTGTGGTCACAGTCACGACCGCTCTGAAGATTTGAATGGTTCCACACAAGTTCTTTCTAGTTGCCTTTCTCATTTTGTACCCGGCTTTTGATGTTGCAATTCATAACTCTTCACAATGCCCCTCAAAAGATCCCAGTTTACAAGAACCACATGTCACCCACCATTCCCCAAGTTTAAGCCAGTTTTGCAACGGAGTTGTTTCACTTGAATGATAGAAACACGCCAAATAAATCAAAACAATGAGATACAACAAACATCTTGGAACAATTTAGAGGGATACTCATGATACTCCAAATAGAACAATGCCGGAGGACTCGGCCGAGCCACTTCTTTTACTGATGGTCCCCGTAGAGTTGGGCCGGGAACATGGGACCCACGGGGCCCATGGCCCAGTTCCTTGGGATGAGCCCAGGAGGGGTGCTTGACGGCCAGCCGTCCCCGGCGCTTGGCGGACTTAGACCGTGGGAGGCGGGTCCCAATGAGGCACTCACGTATATAGGTCAAGGCAATCCAGCAAGCCCCACAAAAAGCCAAAGGATCACCAGCATGTGGAGGTGAATGTCCTGTCTTTTGGATGCTTGAAATGTGATTCTCTTCATTTCTGGGATGTGAAAGCTAGGCTGCATTTTGGAAACAACCTTTACCCAGTGCATCCTTAATCTATGGTCAGATTTTTCTGCTGGGGGGAGGTTGCAGGTTACCTGTCTTATGTGCGTTATACATCGTTATACTACCGTTATACCGTTATACTGTGTTCGTGGCTGTGGGACCTGTGGAAGGTTACATAGATCTACCACCCAACACACGAAGTGAATCTGTGACTGGGCAGGTCATCGCGGTGTCCATTTCTTGACCTCTTCACCCTGCTGAAAAAGTGCTGAAAAGTCTGTGTAAAAACGTGTACTTGCGATTACTTAAGTATAATATCATTCCCATAGGATCCATGTATGGTATATATGCTAACATTGGGGGTATATTGATGGTAAATGTCACCATAGCATACATGGATCCTATAGGATTGATCATTACTGATATGCATCATTCCAAATTGGAGGCTAAATGTTCCGAAATCTCGGAGCCGAATCCAGAGGATCCTCAGTTGAAACCTCAGTTGTCCTATAGAATCCCTCAGTGCGCACCCAGTTGTGCCATGTTGTGCCCCCCTTGGGATCATCCGAAATCTGACAGGGAAAAGTTCAACGCGCCACTGCTGAAATCCGTGATCGACTCTGTGGTCTTCGGGCACGACTTGGACTTCTCCAATGATAAGAGCTGCAACGACCCCTTTAAGGCGACGGCTGGGATTCGCAGCGGCTGGGAGCTGCAGATCGCATGACTTATATGACTGACTTAGTATTTTCTGATATTTTCTGGGTGACTTGCCAAGTCGGATCTGAGATGATCATAGATGATCTGAGTCGCCCAAGCTTGGAGGCAAAGTTCCAGGGAGCCTATGGCAAAGCTTCGTGGTTTACTTCTGAAGAAGATTTGGGAAGCGGCTTGTTTAGACACACCATCGTGTGACGCCTGCGACATATGAGAACACATTTCCTTCACCTGGCCATGGAGCAAGTAGGACTCGAACGGACCTATCGAACTATCCTCAACTGCTCTTTGGTTTCAAAGACATTCAAGACTTTTTCAAGCATATTTAGGATGATCATACCCAATGACGAGCAGATTTTTCGCTTGAAACAACCCAATCAGTCAACATCTAAAGAGAATACAGTAATTAGACGGGTGTTTACATGCTCCTTTGATTTTCAAGTCACAGCCAGCTGGTTTAAGATCAACTGGCCAGAGTGGTGCGACTGTTGGACGCTTTGAGCTTGATAGAATGGTGGCGCGCACTGGGTACACGCTGAAGTTCCACATCCCTATCCTCAGCAACGGAGAAATGATTCTATGCATGTTCATGTGCATATGTTACACATGCGGATAATAAACTTCACAGAGCCACATGCGGATACACAGACATTAGATTAGATACATATGTAGATATCATGGACACGCATGCCTTCTCAGCAAGGACATGCCACTCCTTGTTGAGCTACAAGAGGAAATAGATATGGAGGGTTATTTATTTATATTTTTTTTTGCGGCAAGTTTTGGATTTCTTTTTTTTCTGGGTTCCTGGTTCTATATATGCTTTCCTGCTTCTCTGCTTTTCTGCTTTTTGCTTTTCCTGCTTCTCTGCTTGTCTGCTTTTCTGCTTTTTGTGTTTCCTGCTTTTTGCTTTTCCTGCTTCTCTGCTTTTCAGGCTTCTCTGCTTTGCTTTTGTGCTTCTGTGCCTTTCAACTTCTACTATTCCACTTTTTCTTTTCTTCAGTCATGTGTTTTTGCTGCTCTACTTCCTGCTCCTCTGCTTCTCTGCTTCCTGTCTGTACGGCCTCTCTTTTTTTTTCCCTTTTGTTTTGCTTTATTCTCCCCTAGTTGTATCCTAAATGAAACCCTAAAGACCCTAGGTGAAACCCAAAGAAACCCTAAAGAAATCCTGATAAGAACTCCTGATAAGGGACCCCAAAGAAACCATAAATTAACCCTAAAGAAACCATGAATGAAACCCTAAAGAAACTTTGAATGACACCCTAAATGACCTCCTAAAGAAACCCTAAAGAAACCCTAAATGACACTCCAAAAACCCTAAATGAAACCCTAAATGAAACCCTAAATGAAACCCTAAATGAAACCCTAAAGAACCCCTAAAAAAGAAACCCTAACTGAAACCCTAAATAAAACCCTAAAGAAGCCCTAAAGAAACCCACATGAACGTTTCAAAATCTTGATCAGAAATCCTGATAAGAAACCCTACATGGACCCCTAAAGAACCCCCACATGAAACTCCAAAGAAACCCTAAACCCAAAGAAACCTTAAATGAAACCCTGCCTATAATTATCGAAGGAAGTTTAGAAGTCAAACTTCCGACAATATGGACAGATGAAAAGCAGAGCAGGGAAGAGGCAGAGAGAAGAGAAAGATTAGAAGAAAGAAGAGTAAGAAGAAAGAAGATGCAGATGCGTGAAAAGGTAGGAAAGTCGCGAAACACTGTGGGGCTCCGGAGGGCTCGCTAAAGCGGCGCGTGCGGAGCCAGCTGGCCAGATGAGAGATGAAAAATTGCACGCCGTTGTGGCGCGAAGCACATTTCCAAGTCAAAATGTACAAAACACACCAGCGTCGGACCACTTTTGGAAGTTGAGATGTCGAAAAAGTGCACGCCATTGTGGCGCGAAGCACATTTCCAAGTCAAAATGTACAAAACACACCATTCTCGGACCACTTTTGGAAGTTGAGATGTCAAAAAAGTGCACGCCGTTGTGGCGCGAAGCACATTTCCAAGTCAAAATGTACAAAACACACCAGCTCCGGACCACTTTTGGAAGTTGAGATGTCGAAAAAGCGCACGCCGTTGTGGCGCGAAGCACATTTCCAAGTCAAAATATACAAAACACCACATGTTCGCGCCACTTTTGGAGGTTCGGATGTTGAAAAAGTGCACGCCGTTGTGGCGCGAAGCACATTTCCAAGTCAAAATGTACAAACCACCACATGTTCGCGCCACTTTTGGAGGTTCAGATGTTGCTTCGCTTCACTACACTACACTACATTACACTACACTACACTCCACTACACTACGCTCCACTACACTACATTACACAACACTACAACTACAACTACACAACTACACTCCACTACACTCCGCTACACTAAATTACACTACACTACACTACATTACACTACACTACTACACTCCACTACACTACACTGCATTACACTACACTGCACTACCTTCCACTACACTTCACTACATTACACTACACCCCACTACACTACAACTACAACTACAACTACACAACTACACTCCACTACAATACACCCCACTACACTCCACTACACTAAATTACACTGCACTACACTACATTACACTACACTACACTCCACTAGACTACAACTACAACTACAACTGCAACTGCACAACTACACTCCACTACAATACACTCCACTACACTACACTCCACTACACTACAACTACAACTACAACTACACAACTACACTCCACTACACTAAACTACACTACACTACACTACATTTCACTACACTACATTCCACTACACTCCACTACACTACACTACATTACACTACACTACATTACACTGAATGACACTGCACAACAGATAGACAGGTAGACAGGTAGACAGATAGACAGATAGACAGATAGACAGATAGACAGATAGACAGATAGACAGATAGACAGATAGACAGATAGATAGATAGATAGATAGATAGACAGGTAGACAGCTAGACAGATAGACAGATGGAAGAGAGAGAGAGAGAGAGAGAGAGATAGATAGATAGATAGGTAGATAGGTAGATAGGTAGATAGGTAGATAGGTAATTAGATGAAAGAGAGAAAGAGAGAGATAGATAGATCGATCGATAGATCGATCGATAGATAGATACATAGAAGATAGGCTGGTAGGTAAGTAGATAGTCAGAGAAAGAGAGAGACAGAGAGGAGACCTCAAGCACCTTTCGGTCCATCAGTGGATTCGCTTTGCCATCCCTGATTCGCAACAACCAACCTCTCCTATAGGTTTCCTATTTTTGAAACTTCCGCCACCGCCTTGTGCGGTACTACTGGTAAATTATAAATGAAACCCGAAATGAAGCCCTAGATGAAACCCTACATGACACCCTAAAGAAAGCCTAAATGAAACCCTACATGAAGCCCTGAAGAAACCCTGAAGAAACCCTCAATGAAACCCTACATGAAACCCTACAGAAACCCTGAAGAAACCCTAAATGAAACCCTACATGAAACCCTCAATGAAACCCTAAAGGAAACCCTAAAGAAACCCTAAATGAAACCCTAAAGAAACCCTAAATGAAACCCTAAATGAAACCCGAAAGAAACCCTAAAAACATCCTCATGACCGTTTTAACATCCTGATAAGAAATCCTGATAAGAAACCCTACATGAAACCCTAAAGAAACCCTAAATGAAACCCTAAACCTAAAGAAACCTTAAATGAAACCCTAAATGAAACCCTAAAGAAACCCTAAATGAATCCCTACATGAAACCCTAAAGAAACTCTCAAGAAACCCACATGAACGTTTGAAGTACCAACATGTAGCAAATACCATGCAAATGAGAGGTTGAAGCGCACAAAATTGGCAAATACCATGCAAAATGCAAAGTGACCATGCCAAAATGTAGCAAAGACCATGCAAAATGCAAAGTGACCATGCCAAAATGTAGCAAATACTATGCAAAATGACAGATTCTAGTTCCAAACTGTTGCAAATACAAGGCAAATGGCACCAGGAAAGAAAACCAAACAAAAATCCAAAACCTGAGAAAAAAATGATCCGAAAACTATTCGGCACCCGATGGATATGGATTGGTGCATCAACACTGCAGCAACAACTGTACATGCGCCAAGTGTGATTTCACCGTTGGTTGAGAATCGCATCCTGCTATTTTGATTCAGTGTGCCACTCCCAGTGAACAAGATGCAATTCAACAGCCGCGTGACTGGCACGGAAGGTTTCCGTGGCCGGAGGTCTCTTTGGCAGCAGCAAAAGCTGCTGGGTTGCTCCTAGTTTGAGGGCTGGCCCCGGAGTTGAGTTTGTCAGGAGATGGAGATGTGAACCCTGCGGCGCTCATCCCGAGTTCTCCAATGGCCAAAGATGCCAAGATGATGCCAAGATGATGCCAGAAAACTGGAGGATTCCGTCAGCGCGTGGTTGTTCATTAACATATTTAGAGACGGGTAGTAGGAACCGGATACGGCAAATGAGCAACTGCCTTGCTAGTGATTTCAGCTTCTTGTCGGGGAATGCAGTTTGGGGGGATATCCCTGGAGCCAGCTACCTGGATTCAGCTGACTGTCGTCGAACGCTGCTTCAATGGCCGTTTCTTGAGCTTGTCGCTACTGATGTTGGCTCGCTTTCATTGTTGCACAGTCCCCATCCTGCAGTAATCCCAGAGTCGCAGCAATGTCATCCCTGCCACCTTCCCATGAACTAAGGGCCAGTATCAGCAGCAAGGCTGGGGGCGTGACTGGCTGCCAGTACTGTGGGCTGAAGTCATTCCACCCTAGCCGGCCTCTCAAAAGAGGAAAGAAGAGGGGGAAAGTTCTTCAGCCCAGCTCACTTGATCTCAATCAACCCATCACCTACCAAATGGACTTTGTGGAACACCAACATTTTACGAAAAAATCACTGGACCTCTGTGAGCAGCACAAAAACCAGCCAACAGCGTGTCCCTGCAGGCTGTGCCGGCTGTGGAGGCTGTCCTGGCTGTGGAGGCTGTGCTGGCTGTGGAGGCTGCGCAGGCTTTGGGATGGACATGAGTGGCGGGCTCAGAACAACTTTTGAAGATAGGAAGGATCATGCAACATGCAAGGCACACATCGAATCCCTCCAATCTCGCTGGTGGTTTGGCGGCTTCATTTAGTGGCCTCCGGCAATCCCGCCGGCATCCTCCCACCCGAAGGGCCAAGCTGCCATAAGCTGCCTATG